GGAAATGTAGATGCCTTCTGAGTTTCTGGAAGGAGCAAAACTGCCTGTACTAGTGATTAACAGAGGGAACACAATCTATTTTTCTATGAAACACGGTGAGACATACTAGCATATTTTAAAAATATGTGGACAATGTAATGAAAAATACATTTATTTTGTTGCCAATCTTCCCCCTAAATTGATGCATAACTTTCTTGTAATAAGAATCTCCATTCCCCTAACCTCCCCCTTTGTGAAAGGCTTATCTATTTTTGTTGGATATGCAGATATACAGAGAGAAGGGGATACAGAGAGAAAGATCTTTTGTTCACTGGTTGACTTCTCAAGTGGCCGCAGTGCCTGGAGCTGAGTAAATCCGAAGCCAGGAGCCAGGAGCTTCTTCTGGGTCTCCCACATGGGTACAGGGTTCCAAGGCTTTGGGCTGTTGACAACTGCATTTCCAGGCCACAGAGAAGCAGACAGAAAGAGGAGCATCCAGGACACAAACTGGCACTCAAATGGGATCCTGGCGCATGTTAAGCGGATTTTAGCAGGCCCTCCATGGCCTTTTTGAATCCATCCTATGTCTATGGATTTACACTTTTTTTATAGCAAAACACACACACATACACACACACATACACACACACGTATCCTTTAATTCTCTTTCCATAAGCTTTTGTTTCTAGAAGAACTAAACCTCAAGACATACAGTACCAAGGAATAGGGGTAGGAAGAGCAGGGAAGATTGGGAAGAAAATGCCAAGCAAGACAGCAGAAGTGGAAACAACATGATTACGATAGTTTAAAACTACAAATTTGGGGGGGGCACGGGTATTTTTAAAACTAGAATATTTGACAGGTTAACTTGCACTGAAAGTTTAAGGGGAACAAAGTTTAGCAAAAATAAATTTTCAGCTTTGGGAGAACACAGCATATGGAATGGTGAGTTTAGTTGTAACAACCACCATGCAGCTTACAGACCCACATTACTAAACAATAACACCGAAATGTAGATTTAAGTGATTCATTCCTTATAGACAGTGGACAACCTCAAACTGTATGAGTAATATTGATAATTATAGTACGTTTTAAGGTAATATGTATCTGTTGAGTAATAACTTTATATTGTATAATACTATGGCTCCTATCACATTAGCCCGTTCTGTATGTATCATAATCTAGGTGAGCCCCAGTACTCTCCAGTGAATGCTGGCAAACACTGGCAGAGGAATGGGTGCTTGGCGCAGCCGAGGAAGGCTCCACTAGCATTCTCGTGACCCAAACTGGAGCACCCAAGTTCAAGTTTTCCAGTTTTGGCTTTTCTAATTTCAGCTTCCAGCTAGTGGGCTTCCTGGCAGGCAGCAGGGATGGCTCAAGTTATTTGGTCCCTGTCTTCTAGGTGGGAGGACCAGATCAAGCTGCTGGCACCTGTCTTTGGTCTGGACCAGCTCTGGCTATTAGGGGCACTTAGGGAATGATTTAGTGGGCAAAAGAGTTCTTTTTCTATTCTTGTTTTTCCATTTTTTTAAATAAAATGAAAGTTTGAAAAATTGGTTATATAACAAGCATTAAAGAAGCTTGATAAAATTGTAGTTTTTGGGTTTTTGGTTGAAAAGGGCCTGGGTTTTATCATGCATGCTCATGTGATTCTGAAACAGATATACATAGAGGGAAAAAACTCTTGAGATGTCGGCATTTGAAAAAAACTGATGTGATGGCTCCCTCATGTGGCACAATGTGGAATTGTTCTGCATTTTACATTTTCAGCATTTATCCACATTTTATTATAAACATTTGTAAAAACATGCTGCAAACATAAACACCAAAGTACAGATTTTTTTAATTTTGAAGGAGTCTATCTAAAGGCTTCTGAAGAGTTGTTTGGTAGCAGTCTCACAGGTCAGTGTTTCCCCTCTGCTTGGGTGTACTGCTTGTGGATTGTGTAGAGTTTAGAAGATGATTTTAAGGGTTGGTGCAATGGCTCAATTGGCTACTTTTCTGCCTGAAAGCACCAGTATCCTATACAGGTTCCTGCCTGTGGTCTGGGAAAGCAATAAAAGATAGTCCACTCTGGTTTCTCTTCAGAGCGAATAAACCTTTTGCCTTTTACTAAAAGACAGTCCAAAGCCTTGGAACCCTCTATGTAAATGGAAGACTTGGAGAGCTCCTGACTCTTGGTTTCAGCTCAGCTCAGCTCCAGATGTTGCGGATCATTTCGGGGAGGGAACCAGTGGATGGAAGATCTTGTTCCGTGTCGTTCCTTCTCTCGGTAAATCTGCCTTCCCAATAATAAAGCAAAAAGATCAAGATTCTGCAATCTCAAGCTTTACAGTGTTTTTTTAATTTAGAAGTTTATGACTGATAAATATATGAGGGCTGTTTTGAGTAAGGAATTAACACTTGAAACTCCTTTTTATCCTTCTTCTTTCCCTGCTTCCCAGAAGTCATTTAAGAGGTAGTTATTAAAACCATTGTAATACATTATGGGTAATACTGAGATAGCTGATATCACATCTGTACGAGGGAGCAGGGAAATGTAGACTTCTATATCAACCAAGGCTTGTAACAAAATGCCAAGTGCAAATGCAAGTACAAGTGCATGGCACAAGGAGAGATGAACAGAAGGCTTGGCAGGAGGTAGCCTTGGGGAAATACTAATGGAGGACATAGCATTTAAACTGGGAATCCCTAAGAACGCTTTTTGAAGCTCTGTGTCGCAGGCATTGGAGCATGCTGGGTGCGGTTGCCACTTAGGGTGCCCACACACCAGACGGCTACTCTTCTGAGCCAGCTCCTTGACAGACAATACCTCCATTACTTGAGTTCCTGATACCCCTGGGAAACCTGGATGGAGTCCTGGCTCCTGGCTTTGGTTTGGCCCAGCCTGGTCTGTTGTGGCTATCTGAGGGGTGAAAGTGCCTCTCCCTGTGTCACTCTGCCTTTCAAATAAATAAAACTTTTGTAAGGATTTTAAAAGAAAGCATCTTTGGGCAACTGTGGTGCTGTCTTACACATCAGACGGTTCTTACTGTGTTTCTTTTATTCATTTGCTCAGTATTGATTATGGGTCAGGCACGCTGCTAAATGTGAGCATACAACATCGGATAGGGGTTATTTCATTTTTGGAGCCATTGATCCAGTTGTAAGCACAGACAAAAATATTTCATAAACACAAATGAAAGAATTATAAATTGGAGGAAGGGCTGGGGAAGAAGTCAGAAGCTGAGGTAGAGCGAGGTAGACAGGGGAGGGTAAGGCTGCTTGTGTGACTGTGGCAGAGGAAGAGCTGCAAAAATAAAAGCTAGCGTGTTGACTGAATCCAAACACTATTTTAAGTTTTTTGTTTCTTCTAGCTAGTAGGTATGTGGTCCTCTCAACTCTCTCAGCTATTTTATTGTTATAATGTCCATTTAATAGTTCGGAAGACTGAAGGCATGGTCACATGCAATTATTGCATGTACTTAACTTGTAAGTGGCTGACATTGGGTCTAGGCCTACAATGCTAATACTCCCCTGATCATTATTACAGTCATTTGCTGTCAAAGGAGAGGAAAGAAAATGCAGCAAAGCACTTGACAGTGAAAGCGATGGAAGAAGGCCTCTGGATCCACAGCACAAAGGTGGGGAGAGTGACCCGAGTCCCTTCAGGGAGAGAGTATGAGCTCCTGCAGCTACTTTGAACATGTGGCTAAGAGCTTTCATTCTGTGTGCAATGAAAGTCACCTGCAGGTTTTAAATGAATCAGACATTCGCCAGGAAACCTTTAAGGAAAGTAACTGGGTTGGGTGTTTGGCTAAGATGCCGTTTGGCTTCCTGCTGCAGCATACGTTGGAAGGTGGCAAGTGATGCTCAAGCAGCTGGAGTCCTACGTGGGAGATCTGAATTGAGCTCCTGGCTCCTGGCTCTGGCCTGGTCCAGCTCTAAAGGATGTTCAGGGAATGAGCCTGATGGGAGATTTTTGAATTTTCAAAAGATTTATCTATTTATTCTAAAGGCAGCTTTATAGAGAGAATGAAAGGGAGAAAAGAGAGATTTCGTCTGTTGGTTCACTCCCTAAATGGCCACAACAGCCAGAGCTGATCTGTTCTGAAGCCAGGAGCTCCTTCCAGGTCTTCCATGTGGGTGCTGGGTCCTAAGGATTTGGACCATTCTCCATAGCTTTTCTAGAACATGAGCAGGAATCTGGGTTGGGAGTGGAGCAGCCAGGACACAAACCGGTGCCCATCTGGGACGCTGGCACTGCAGGCAGAAGATTAAACCACCATGCCATCCCCTAATATAGTAAATATTTTAAAAAGAGGCAAAGAGGATTATTCTTGCTGAAGTGTATCATGTGGAGAATGAATTTCAGAATTTCAGGCAGGATAGTCAGGGGTGACGCCCATTAGGAGATGGACATTATGAAGCATTCCCTGTGATGAACACATCACCCAATACTTGGGGTGTGGGCTTCCCTCAGACTTGCATTAACCCAGATAAATGACTTTGGTATTTGGAAACAGTCACAAAATGAGTATAAAACAAAACCGGAATATGTTATTTACCTTTGCTTAGTACAACCACTGAACACTGGAAGGCCTTTCTCTGCTGGTATAGCATATTGGATTCACAGATAATAACACTGAGCTCAGAAGAGGTGAATGTTGCAGACCAACTACTTGCATTCTTGCCCCTTTAATTTAGACTGGGTTTTCTTTGAGGTCAACCACCATTACTAGTTTAAAACACACTGTAAAATGACATTTTTCTTTTAATGACAATTTCCCTTCTGCCCTTATGTACGGAAACAGACACAGAGAAAAGGACAGGCCAGTCAACATGAACCAGGGTTTCAGGAAAGGGTCAGGGAGCTGCAGAACACTTTGGGCTATAAGGAATATGCTTGAGGCAGGACACAGGACGAAGCTGCATCTAGGCAAAGCTTTTCTACCTCCACAGCCAATCAGCAGGTCCCTGAAGAATTGCTCAAATATTCTTAAAGAAGAGAGACTAGTTCAAGAGGGTTCAGTGAATCTTACCGTGGCCTTTCTGTCCAGTAAAAAACATGAGGTTATTTTGCAGTGCTGAGTGGTTGTTTGCCAGCTGAAACTTCAAGCGGAATTCATAATTGAAGCTGATGTCTGAGATCCGTGAATAAGCCAGGAACGAAGTGTATCCCGAGGCATCTGTGCCACTGAACCTTGGCTGAGTGATATTAATAGCTGTGGAAAAATCCAAACCAGTTATAAGAAACCCGTTCATATAGTTGTAAAAGGAGAGTTGTATTTTGCTGTTGCATTTGGCTGGCTAATCTCTTTATTATCATATTAGTTATACCTAAGTGCCCCTTAGCATTCAGCAACCACATGACTCCACAGGGAATTTCAAAATCTGAACTAAGCAAGTACAGTGTTTTAAGATGCCGTATAGAACCCCTTCACTCATATACCATTTATCCCATATTGAAGAATTTATTTATAAGGCAAAACCTTTAATTTGTGCAATAGAAAGGATCACTGGCAGCCAAAATGCTTCCTCAGGCGTTTTATAAACATGACTTGGAGAGGAGCTCATAGCTTGGAACACATGGTTTTTCTGGGCCTGGGCCTTTTATATGAACCTTTTATATACAGGTCAAGAAGCAGGTGAGGGGATTGGTCAGTTTCCATCATCATGTACTGAATGAAAAGAATATTAAGTAAAAATAATTGTCTAAAAGAAATGTTCTTCTGTACTTTATTGAGATTCTTGTTAAACAATGAATGTATGCGTTTTAATGATTCTAAACCTAGAAATGATCAGAAGTTCAAGTGCCAGTGTGAATAAAATATAATTCAGTGGAAGTGCTATTAGCTATCTGTTCTCTCCCTTTCCCTCCAGTCTTGTGTGCAACTTTTCTCTTTCATTTTTCTGTTTTCAAAAGTAACCTCAATTGGTCTTTTTTTTTTCCTCTCCCAAGAGGATCACAGGAAACAGAAGGCTTGGATGGCAGGGTCTGACCTGTCTCTTTTGGGCAGATCCCCCAGATGAAGGAGTTCTGGGGTTTGTGCAGTGGGTGTGGGGGACACAAAGGCATGAAGGGAACCGTTTGCTGCATGCAGGGCCCTGTGGATGTCTCTATAACCACCTGAAGGTGGGTCCACCTCCCTTTGCATGGACACCTGATGACCCTGCTGAGAATGTTGTAATCTATTCAGGCATTGCAGCATTGGTTTTTACTATCAATGTGTGCTTGGAAGTTGACGTTACTGCTAAGGTCTTGCAAAAAGGCCTTTTACAATTCATGCTGTTTCTGTCTCTGCTGTCCCCATTGACCTTATGCTAATCAAGATTCTATCCTTGATCTTTAGGTTCCCCTCTTTTTTTGTGATGCATTTCTTCCCTTAACTGATTCAAGATTAAGTTGTACAATGAGGATTGTAATAGGGATGTGTTACTGATTGATATGCACCATCTATTGAGAACTTCTTTGAGAACTTTAAGGTGAAACAAATGGCAGAATTATCCTTAGCAACACCCACTTGACCTTGACATAAAAAGTCTGTGCCAGAGCGTGACAGCTTCTGTATAACTAAAGAGGAGAGCTTTCTTGCATTGTCTATTATGATTCTGAAATTGGTCAATTTCTTTTCTCCTTACGCCTACTCCAGGCACCCTTCACGAGTTCCGAACTCAGCTGGAGCTGGAGCCGGCATCTATTTTTGCTTGATGGGGATAGCTTGATGGAGGACAAGCTAGTTTCTGTTACCTTACATTGCTTCCTTCTTAAAAGACATTGGACCTCCTGGGAATTTATAAAATTAGAAATTTTAGAAGCTTTAAGAAATACTCCAAGTCCTGCCCTAGCAGCAAGAGAAAGAAGAATTTGAATCCTCCAAGCTTTGCAGGCTGAGGCCTGCTTGCTCTCTCAGGCCACTCCACAGCCTTGGCTGCATGGTAGCCAACATGCCAAAGGTGGATCTTCTTGTCCCTACCAGAATGACATCGTTATTCTATGAGCTCAAGCTTTCAGTCATGTATCATTGGTTGGTCCCTAAATGACCTTGCAGTGACAGAGAACACTTGCCTGTATACCAGGATGAAAATTAAAGCAAAAATATCCAGAGAGCGAATGAATAAATTGAGAGACAACTGTCACAAGTCACAATCACCAACTACACCACAAAATCTAAACAGACTTCAATTAAGGAAAACATTTAATTTGAATTCAGCACATATTTCAAGATTTTAAGTAAGGAAAATGACTTTGGAATAATGAATGACAATAATTTACACCTGTCGACTTGATTTACAGATTTTAATTATACTTGGCTGATTAATACATATCCCACATGTATGTGCTTGTACTCCCAGGTCCTGTGCTGGATGCTGACAGCACAAAGATGAGAAAGTACAGTATCTGCCCTCAAGGAACCTGTGTGAAGTGAGTTATTCAACGGACCTGGATTGATAGCTGAGGGCTTGGCTGCTGCTGCAGCAGTTCACCCGGCTGAAGAGGAAGGCCACTGCAAGCCGAGGAAACAGCAGGCAAAAAAATCACAACTGGTGTTTTTCATTCTAAGTTCATATCAGTCAGACCTAGACACAATTCAGGCATTCAATATAACCAGTACATGATGGGTAGCTAGGCTATTGCACAGGGTAGCCCTGGAGTGAATAAGGGATGCTGAGCAGGTAACAGAGTCATTCCTGGAGCAGAGTTCTTCTCAATGGTCATAGTTACTCTAAAACCTCAAATGTGCTTCTTTTGAATGCCACAAAATTGCCTCATTATTTCTGACTGGATACTGGATTAATAATGCATTACTGTTAATTAAGCCCTTAAATATAATGCTGTTACTATTTTCAGTGAGGCACACAAAATTTCTCTTTATAATTCTGCATTTAAGCTTATCTTATCAGAAATTCTTGATCTCATCAAAGATTTCTTTGTGACAAAAAGCAGTTCAAAAAAACTTGTGATTATTGTGAAACTATTCAAGGATTGAGGAGAAAAAACAGATCACATGGCTCTTTTTCATTTCTTTGCCCTCGCTATACTTTATTCCCCTCTGCATTCATCCTAAACTTCCCACGCTCCTTGAATTCCCTGAGTTTGACAAAGAACCGGCTGTTGCGCTCACTTGGGGAGTGAATCATCAGATGGAAGATCTTCCTCTCTGTCTCCCCTCCTCTCTATGTATCTGACTTTGTAATGAAAATAAAATAAATCTTAAAAAAAAAAAAAAAAAGAACCTTGAAGAAACCAGGCTTGGAGAATCATAGCTTTAAACTCATTATTTCCAAGTCTTTTTTTTTTTCTTTTAATTTTAGATGATGTCTACGTAGTTGATCAGGATTGGAGCGATCTAGGGTTAAGGAAAAGTGGGTGTGATTATTGTTTTCAAACTTTCTATTTCTTCTTCCCATTTCTAGGGGGAGGGGAAAGATAAAGGAAGAAGCTATACCCAGCTTCCCAACCATCCCAGTACCTGAGGATGGGGAAGGGCCACCTGACATCAACCTTGGAGTATGCGGTACATACTCCACGGGTTCTGACCAGGTAGATGTGGTGGTTCTAAAATGCTGTCGATCTCACTGACCTATGGATGAGGAACCCCTTCCTATGTTCATTGGCTTTAAGCCCTTAATAATCAATAGCCAGCAATGACACTTTCTTAATTTGCTTATTTTATTGCCCAAATTCACAGATCAGACTTTTGGGAGTTATCAGTCAGCTTCAAATGAGATTTGTGCTTTTAAGACACTGACTATGGCTGGCAGTGTGACATAGTAGAATGTTTCTGTCTGTGGCACGGACATCCCATATGGGTGCGGTCCTAGCTGTTCCACTTCTGATCCAGCTTCTTACTCATGTACCCAGAGGCCCTGCACTCACATGGGAGATCTAGAGGAGACTCCTGCCCTGGTTTCAGATGGGTCCAGTTCTGGCCAGTTGCCATTTAAGGAGTGAATCAGCATTTGGAAGATCTGTCTCTTTTCTCTAATTTTGACTCTCCAATACAATAAAAAAAATTTAAGATGTTTACCATGGGAGATTTTTCTCATTCTGATTAAAGGCAGAGCAATACATGTTATTATTTTAAATATGTCTATATTTCTCCTTTTTTAAAGTATTATGTAGATAGTCCTCTTAATTTGAATTCCTGAAGTTTTATGTAAGGAAGTGACAATGATCAGCTGATGAGTTATTGAGATGTAGAAAGAAATCAAATAGCTCAAATTTCAACTTCTTCCCTTTCAAACTTGAAATTGGTAGCCTGCTGCACCCACTGGCTGACATAATAGGAGGACATGTGGAGGGGAGGCAATTGGAGCCAGCTAGTCTGATTTTGCATTTCTTTGCTTTTGATGTAAATATGGGTAAATGTACTTCGCTTCTCCACTTTCTTCATGTATAAAATAAAGATGAAAGAGCAACTAACATTTTGTGAAGCATGGGAAAAGTACAAAGAAAAAACATAAAAGTTATTTTAAAAAGTTCATGGAAAACATGAAGTTAATTCCTTAAATCTGTGGAAGACCCTTGGATACCAGGGCTAGCCACAACTCTGAGGGACAGAATTCAGTCACGGAGCCCTGTACCTCTTTAACATCTGCCCAGTGAAGTCAGTTTGCAAGTCTCTAAGAGAACTAATTTATGCTTTCTTCTTTCTCCTGTAATATCTAAGATTTTCACTTTGCTCCGTATCCTCTGCTGTCCCCTGGGCTGACGGTGCCTGGATACTGAATCCACTCTTCACCTCTTTACAGGCATTGTTTCTGAAATCTGTCCTTCCTATCCGTGGCCGATTCCTTTCAACTTTGACTAGAACATTTCCAGGTTAAAATTAAAATATTTCCTTAATTCCAAATTCCCAATTAGCTACTATTAGTTTGTCTCTGCCCATAATTACAGGAAGATGTTTCTAAAGGAGATCTACAGCAATTCTTCTATTCACTATGCATTCTTGATTTCTTTCCCATCAGATTATGTTTCCTATGTTTTTTTGTTTGTTTTTATGAGAACACCAATAACCACCTTCATTCTAAATTCAATGTCAGTGCTGTATTTTCAGTTTATTCACCATCTCAGAACCAACTGACACAGCTAATGACTGAGCCTTCTTCACTTGGTTTATGTGACACCACACACTCCCAAGTGTGCTTCTTGCTTAATAATTGCTTCTCCTCATTCTCCTTTTCTTCCAGCATCATATTCAGGTGGGTAATTTCTCCCATC